CCACAGGTGTGGGTTCAATTCCAGACCTGAAGGGCAGCTAGGGGCCATAGTCTCAGTGGTTCCACGAGGCTCTATCAGACCAGCAAACCTGGTCCCCCTTTTTTTTTTTTTATTTTCCTAAATGATTTTGTGCCTAAGGCACTTGACTGCTAACCAGAAGGCTGGTGGTTCAAACTCACTAGCCACTCCTCGAGGGGAAGGTTGGGCAATCTACTTCCGTAGTGATACTGCCTCAACAACCCAAGGAGGGGTCGCTATGAGTTGGGGCCGACTCGACGGCACATAACAACAACAACAACAAATGATTTTGAGTTTTGTTGCATATTGTTCTCCTTCTCTATCCAGAATCTCCTACATAGATCCCCCTCCAAGTTGTTGACAGTGGTAGCCGGGCACTATGTAGTTCTTCTGGTCTCATAGTTATATAGGCTGAAGATCATATGGTGTACCAGTCGCTTGGGCTAATTTTTTCCATGAATCTTTAGTTTTCTTCATTCTTCTTTGCTCTGGACGAGAGACCCAATCAGATGCAATCTTCAGAGTATTTTAATCTATTATATTGAAATTTTAGCTACAGATTGCCAAACTCATTTCAAGAATAAAAGCAAATTACTAGACAAGTTATTTGCTACCCCATAAATGTTAATAGGAAAACAGCTTTGTGGGTATTTTTTTGTTTGTTTCTTTTTCTTTTTTTTTTTTTTACAGTTGAACTCTTTATTCTTCAGGCAGGTGTGATGGTATTATGGTTACAGGTTTTCTGGTATCTAAATACTTTCATTTTAAAAATTTTATTTTTCATTACTTATTTAGAATATCAGGAGCTCTGGTAGTGTAGTGCCTAAGACCCTTGACTGCTAACCAGAAGGCTGGCAGTTCAAACCCACCAGCCACTCCTTAGAAAGAAGGTTAGGCAATCTACTTCCATAGTGATACTGCCTCAGAAACCCAAGGAGGGGTCACTATGAGTTGGGTTCGACTTGATGGCACATAATAACAACAACAACAAATTTAGAATATCTAACTTCTCATTCAGAATATGTTAAAATGTTAAAAATAGTGTGAAAAATGATGTTTTTCTTGAAACACTTTTTAAACTTTATAATAAACAACAATAACATAATAAAATTATTGCTATGTTCTGATCGATAGTAGATCTCTAGAACTGTATCTTTTACTCAAATGATTCTAGTGTTTTAAAAGCTCTATGAGGCACATTTGTCACTAATACAAATATTTTGAAATGGCATTTTGTCATTTAGTTGTTTCTCATTGTAGACATATATATGTTATATATTGACATATTATCATTTATGTCTGTTGACTCAAATTGACCTGTCAATTTCAATCTATTTTTATTAGCTTCAATAATAAATTTCAATAAAACATCTACAAAGTTTCAAGAAAAATTAAATTTCAGTATAGACTAATTTTTTTCCCTTATGTCCACAGATAAAAAGGTAAACATAATGATTTTAGAGCAATCTAACCATATACACTTATGTATTATTTAATGAAAAATAAATGAATATTACAGCCTACAGTAATAAACCAAACTGACTACCATCAAGGCAATTCTGACTTCATAACACCCCTATAGAACTGCCTTATAGAGTTTCCAAAGCTGTAAATACTTATGAAAGCACACTGCCTCATCTTTCTCCAACGGAGCAGCTTGTGAGTTCAAACTACTGACCTTCTGGTTAGCAGCAAAACTCTTTAACTACTATGCCATCATATTTCCTTACAACTTATAATAGTAATGATGTTAAAATCATTCTCTGGGGGGAGAAGGATCAAGATCGAGATCAGAAGCTCAAGGCTGATTCCTATGAAGCGAAATCAGCCACCACCTTCCAACCTTTTTAGCAATTCTAACACCACTGTACCTTCCACAGCAACTCTCATCTCTGTTGGGTTTGATAATTCATTGCAATAGCCACACAGAACTCACAGACAATACTTGTGATTATGGGGTTTATTAGGGAAGGAGTAAGTTATAATTCAGGATCAGGAACATTCAGAATACAATTCTTTGATCAGGACAGCCTTCCCTCAGCCCTACTTAGACAAGTGTTAGACAGCTCTTTTAGCTTTAATGAGAGGTGCCCAGAGAGGCACCTTCCTCTACCAGCAAGCCTCTTGCCCAGAGACAGTCAACTTTTTCACTGCATGGGCAAGGAAGCCCATTACTCTGTCTTGTGCTGTTCTCTTGCCTCTGCTGCCTCTGTTGCCATTTCTCTGCTGCAGCTGCTGCTGCTGCTGCTTTTGTCTCCCACTGGCTTTCATGTCAGGATTTGGATTCACAGGACACACTGTACTCCTAGCTCTTCTTTCTTGATGATAGTGAGATCCCCCATTTTTTGCCTCTGGGATGGCTTTTTTTAAGCTTAGTATGATGGTATAACAGACCAGTCCCCATGATAGCGTTCCATACACCTTATTTGCATGGTCCTACTCACACAAGGGTGCCATGTACCTTATTTACATTATTAACAAGCTATCTGGTCCCGTTGGTAGGCCACAAGCACCTCGCATTTATGTAGTCCCACTTAGTCATTTGGTGGAAGTCTAAAAGAACATGGCTAGAAGTGTCATATTAAGTAATTCACTGCATCACAGTGCACAATGGTTTGAGTCAGATTCAGGTCTTAATTTTACATCTTCTATATATTTTACCCTACCTGAGTAGGAAATAAAACAAAACAAAACATAAAAAAAAACTCACTGCCATCGAGTCGGATCCAAGTCATAGTGACCCATCCTTGGGTTTCTGAGGTGGTATCACTACAGAAGTAGATTGCCCAATTTTCCTTCTGAGGAGTGGCTGGTGGGTTTGAACTGCCAGTCTTCTGGTTAGAAAAGTCAAGTGCCTGAGGCATTATGCCATCAGAACTCCTTGAGTAGGAAATAGAAGACTACAGCCCACTGCCATAAAGTTGATTCCAACTTATAGCAATCCTATAGGACAGAGTTGAACTGCCCTATAGGGTTTCCACCTCGGAAGAAAGATTGGGCAATCCTACTTCCATAGTGATACTGCCTCGGAAACCCAAGGAGGGGTCGCTATGAGTCGGGGCCAACTCGACGGCATATAACAACAACAACAACAACATAGGGTTTCCAAGGCTTTAATCATTTCAGAAGCAGACTGCCTTATCTTTCTGAACTAACCTTTTGGTTGGCAGCTGAGCAGTTTAACCACTGCATCACCAGGGCTCTTAAGTTCCCTAGACAGTGAGAATTTGTGACTCATATTAAGAGTCATCTTTAATCCCTGAAATAAGTATTATATATTTCAAGCAGAAAAATTCTTTATGTTTAGTTAACATACGTGTGTATCTATTTATATGAAATGTGTAATGTAAGGATGCCAAGCATGAAATTAATGGTATGCATTTCTTTTTCTATTTTTATTGTATAATGTTGAAAGAAATATCTCTGATGAGGTATAAGATTGTTAATAAATGATGACCATTTTAGTCTGGTTACATTTTTTTAAAATTTACTCTGAGAGTAAAATGAAGTATGTAAATGATTACATGCCTTCTAGCCTACAAAGAATAGCTCTATTTCTTATGTACATATATATATATATACATATGTGTGTCAATATATATTGAATGATAATTTATCTGTGGAATTAAATGATTTTAATTATGAACTAATAATGTTGCTCTAGTTTCAATCTATTTTTTGATTATTCAAACATCAGAAGATGTTCTTGGTTTTATTTTTGTATTTTAAAATGAAATTAACATTAAACTGCCATATCACATGTCCAGTTATGAGGACCTTTTTGTGTATTTCTATTTATATTTATAATCAACACAAATTATTACTTGCAATTGCAGTTTTAGTTCAGCTTTACCACCTGAGTGTCTTTTGTGAGGAGCGTTTCTCCTTTTGTTTTGTTTAATTTCCTTTGTCTTTTTTCATTTCAGGTTTAGGTTTAGCCTTCAATCTGCAACCAGCCTTAACGATAATTGGCAAATACTTTTTAAGGAAACGACCTATGGCAAATGGATTGGCCATGGCGGGAAGTCCTGTTTTCTTAAGTACATTGGCTCCTTTCAATCAGTTTCTTTTTAATACTTATGGCTGGAAAGGAAGCTTCTTGATTTTGGGAGGTATATTTTTGCATGCCTGTGTGGCTGGGTCCCTTATGCGACCTGTTGGAACCCAACAAACTAAAAGCAAGTCTAAAAATAAGATTGGCATAAAAGGGGATGAAGCAAATGTGAAGTCAAGCCATAAGAATAAATCAACTTGGGAAAAAATTAATAAGTATTTAGATTTCTCACTTTTTAAGCATAGGGGCTTTCTTATATATCTATCTGGAAATGTTATTATGTTTCTGGGATTTTTTGCCCCTATTATATTCTTGGCTCCATATGCTAAGGACAAGGGAATTGATGAGTATTCTGCAGCTTTTTTGCTGTCTGTTATGGCTTTTGTTGATATGTTTGCTAGGCCTTCTGTAGGACTAATTGCAAACTCCAAACTTATCCGACCTCGAATCCAGTACTTCTTCAGTTTTGCGATCATGTTCAATGGAATCTGTCATCTGTTGTGCCCACTTGCTGAGGACTACACAAGCCTGGTGGTGTATGCTATATTCTTTGGCATGGGATTTGGAAGCGTTAGCGCTGTCCTCTTTGAAACTCTCATGGACCTTGTTGGTGCTCCGAGGTTTTCCAGTGCTGTGGGACTCGTCACAGTTGTAGAGTGTTGCCCAGTTCTTCTTGGTCCTCCTCTTGCTGGTAAGAATATTTCTCATCAAGGAAAGCAAAAAAGCATACAGTTAATATTTGTTAGTTGAGAATATTCTTTGCAGTGAATAATAAATTTTAAATAAATAATAAAATACCACTAGTTTGAATGACTGTGGGGTTGTTCAAGATTTTTCTAGATTTAAAAATTTTGTAATAAATTGACTTGAGACCTATATATATTTCAGAGGCTGAAACTAGGAACTTAAGTTAAACTGATACTTAGTATCATATTTTTACAGTTTTATCCACAGCAATTATTTTGTTCTTTTAAAATGTATTATCAGAATAAAATGTTACTTTCCCTTACCAGTGGTGAAAAGATTCCTCTTCTCCTTATGTGAAAATAAGTCAAAAATATAATATAACCTTCTCAATTATTTTTAATTAGTGTGCTGATAATATTATATTACTGTGGAACTTGTCACATGCCTGAGGAATACTTTCTAACATTACTGATGTTTGTGTGTGTTTGACATCGAGGCTATTTCTTAATACTAATAATATAAACATGCATCATATATATACATATATATGACTGCTAACCAAAGAGCTGGCAGTTCAAACCCACCAGCCACTCCTTGGAAGGAAGGTTGGGCAGTCTACTTCAGTAGTGATAACGTCTCGGAAACCCAAGGAGGGGTCGCTATAGGTCAGATCCAACTCAATGGCAGTGGGTTTGGTTTATATGTGTGTGTGTGTGTGTGTGTATGTATATAAATATATATGTGTACCTATATATACACATATATATACAAACATATATTTATATGCATATACATATATGTTGTTGTTATGTGTTGTCAAGTTGGACTTGACTCATAGCAACCCCTCCTTGGGTTTCCGAGGCAGTATCACTACGGAAGTAGACTGCCCAACCTTCCTTCTGAGGAGTTGCTGGAGGGTTTGAACCACTAGCCTTCTGGTTAGCAGTCAAGTGCCTTAGGCACTACACTACCATACACATATATATGCATATGTACATATATATGTGTGTGTATATATATAAATATATATGTATATATATGATGCATATTTATATTATTACTATTAAGAAATAGCCTCTCTCTTTCTCTCTCTCTCTCTCTCTCTCTCTCTCTCTATATATATATATAGAGAGAGAGAGAGAGAGAGAAAGAGATATCTGTATGTATGTTGTTGTTGTTGTTGTTGCCATAGAGACAATTCCGATTCATGGCAACCCCAAGTTTGCAGAGTAGAACTGTATTCCATAGGTTTTTCAAGTTGTGCCCTTTGGGAAACAGATTACCAGTCCTTATTTCTGAGGCAACACTGGGTGAGTTTGAGCTGCCAACCTTTTGGTTGTGCTTAACCATTTGTGCCACCCAGAGTGTGTATGTGTGTGTGTGTGTGTGTGTCTAGATCTGTGTCTATATTTATATATACTGAATGTAAAAGAATGAAGGAAAATTCATTCAAGATTATTCTTTATCAGATCCTTGTATTCCATACTTACGAACTTTAAAGATGTTCTTTAGATTTTAAGATCTGAAGTATTTTCAAAAGATGCCTATAAACATTTCTATGCTAAACTTCCAAAAGGAGACTAAGTAGATATTTAGAGGCCCTCCAAAGAAGACCCTCATAAATTGAAAATAATTTTGTGCATGAATGTAATCTGGTATTTAGAAAAATAAAAATGAATAATAGTCATCATAGATGCTTTAGATTCTTGTGAACTTCCTTATGTTTATTTGATGGTTTCCTTTGGAATTACAATTGTGAATACTTTTTGAAGTAAATTCTTGGACTTAGACTCAGTTCTGTTATCTAAACATGTGATTTAAAGACATGTGTAAGTGCATTTTTAAAGTTTAGACTTTGCTTAGTCTTAGACTTTAAATTTCATGGATAATAATATATTTTTTGTTTGCCAGTCGTTTTCAGCAATCACTACATATCTGTTTGGTCAATACTTCAGTATTCACTTAGACTCTTGGCCTGCCCCTAAGTGGGTCAGAGTAACTGCCAGGGAAGTATAAATTTTTCCCTGTACTGTGTTTAGATGATTTTTAAATTGTTTTCTACTTGACATCAGGCAACTATTTTGAAAGTGGAAAAATTCATCTTTCTTGATCTTAATGCCAACATTGAACTTCTGTCTATAGCTATTTCACTAATAAGCAATGCATCAAACCTGGGTCTAAATCCTGAGAGATACAGTTGTTGCATTTTCTGCCTGTCAGGGCTGTCCTCTGTGTATCTGTCATTATGGCTATACCATGCCAACAAAAACAATTAACAGAATAAAAACCAGTAGATTTTATATTTATCAGCCAGTTGACTTTGTTATGTAAGTCAACAATTGCCTTGTGTTTTTACACAGAATTGTTTTGATCAGATGGGTTTTCTAAACCAAATCAAACTCACTGCCATTGAGTCAATTCCTACTCATGGTGACCCCCTTTGGGTTTCTGAGGTGGTAAATATTTACAGAAGTAGATTGCCCAGTCTTCTTTCTACAGAGTGGCTGGTGGTTTTGAACTGCCAAACTTCTAGTTAACATCAAATGACTTAGGCATTACACCACCAAAGCTCTTTACATGAATTTTAGAGTCTACTTTATAAGGAGCTCTGAATGTTTTTTTTTTTTGTTGTTTTATTTTGTTTTTAAATTTTATTGTGATTTAGGTGAAAGTTTACAGAGCAAATTTACCTCCCATATAGCAGTTCACATACACTCTGTCTCATGATATTGACTGTAATCTCTCACAATGCAACAATTCTCCCACTTCCTCCCCACAGCCACTTCTTCCCTGTGTCCTTCCCTCCCATGCTCTCCTGCCCTGGAGCTGTCTCTCTCTGCATACACAGCCCTTCTATTCTCCCATAATTGATCTCTCCAAGGAGTGTATCTACCTAATGTAAATGTTCAGCTCATATGCCTGTCTTTTGTTTGTCTGGAAGCCACAGAATTGGATTCAATTCCAGACCTGAAGGGCAGCTAGGGGCCATAGTCTCAGTGGTTCCACCAGGTTCTATCAGACCAGCAAACCTGGTCCTTTTTTTTTTTTTAATGATTTTGATTTTTGATCCACATTATTCTCCTAGTCTATCCAGGATCTCCTACATAGATCCCCCTTCAAGTGCTTGACAGTGGTAGCCAGGTACCATCTAGTTCTGCTGGTCATATAGGCTGAGGATCGCATGGTATACCAGTTGTGTGGACTAATTGTTTCCTGAATGGGTATTTTTGCTGTTGATTCTCACTCAACTGCTGCTACTGCTACTACTCTTATTAGTAGAGCAGTAAAAGTAGGGAATGTGTGATTTTATTTTATTTTTTGCAGCTCAGACTTTCACTACTCCACTCACAAAGAGCAGGAGCTTTAGTTCCTGATGATGCTAATATATTCCCAAAACATTTAGAGAGCATGCTGATACTGTAGCCTAAAGTAATATTAACTCTGATGGATCCACAAGCCTAATATTTTGGGGGTTTTTGATTCATTTGTTAATTTAGAAGTATAATAATCATTGTTCAAATGGATATATTTCACTATTTTTAAGATGGAAACTTAAATAATGCAATTTCTATTATGTGTATGAATGTATCATACTTATTCAAATAAGCATATTTACCTAAATTATTTTATTTTATAGGAAACTTTGTTCAAATAGAAAATTTATTAAGTTTTAAATTTAATACTAAGCCACTTTACCAGAGATTCTGCCAAACACACAGGCTTGATTGGCCTATATCAGTATGACCTGGAATGCACATGATAATACAGATTTGTGCACACTTTTATTGTGAAGAATTATGATTAAGAATTAGATGCCTGTATAAAGAAGACAGAAAAGGAAATAAAAGCTAGAAAGCTAAAAGAAAAAAAAATCAAAATTAACAGTTTGTGTGGTTCCACGATAATTTTTATATGGTCTCAATAATCAAATGGAACAAATAGCTTCTTCCTCATTATTTTGGCCTTGATAATTTAGATTCAGATCAAGTAAAAATTGTGCTTAGCCTAAAAAGTGACATGGCACTTAACCAGGAGGTTGGATCAAGCCATTTTGCATAATTGTTAAGAATGTGAGATTCAGACACACATTGACTAGAGTCCATATTCTATCGCTTATTGGCTACGTATCCAGATTACAGGCATAGCTAGTCTTATTGTGCTTCACTTTATTATGCTTCCCAGATATTGCACTTTTTGTAACTTGAAGATTTGCGGCAACCCTGCATTGAGGAAGTCTGTCAGCACCGTTATTGCAACAGCATGTGCTCACTTTGTTTCTCTATGTAACATTTTGGCAATTCTCACTGTATTTAAACCTTTTTCATAAAACTATAGCACACTTAATAGACTATAGTATAATTTAAACATAACTACTGTTATTATTTAACCAAAAAATTCATGTGACTTGCTTTATTGAGATACTGGCTTTATTGTAAGGAGCTCTGGTGGTGTAGTGCCTAAGGCATTTGACTGCTAACCAGAAGGCTGGCAGTTCAAACCCACCAGGCATTCCTCAGAAGGAAGACTGGGCAATCTAGTTCTGTGAAGATTTACCACCTCAGAAACCCAAAAGGGGTCGCTATGAGTTGGAATTGACTCAGTGACTTCATTGTGGTTGTCTGGAACCGAACCCACAATATTTATGAGGTATGCATATATTTCATAATAGTCTTGTAAGAATTAAGGGAGATATTACAAATAAAGTGCTCAGTTTAGTGCTGGACATAGAGTATTTAATAAATATTAGCCACGGTCAGAAACTTCTTACAGCCTCTGCGTCTTACCTAAAGAGTGGAATGCTTCTCTCTTGTTGAAGAGAAAAGGAGACATGGAGACAGTAAAGTGATTTCTATGTATAGAACAATATAAATCACACATGTATATATTCATAGATATACATGCAAACACTACATTCCTAATATACCTTGATTACATATTTATATTGGAGAATCTAGTTTCTGATCAATTTAACCTATTAGTAATATAATGCTGCAAACTTCTATATATGCTTTTACTGTGCATATGTAGAAGCCCAAATCTAGAATGTTTTTCCCTTTGTTAAAAGTCTCATTTAATGTTAATTTAAGTAAGCAATAGTTACACATTTTGTCTGGCAAAGAAGTTACTTGAAAATGTTCATCATTTTTTATTATTATCTTCTTTGTCTCTTAGGTAAATTGGTGGATGAAACTGGAGAATACAAATACATGTACATGGCCTGTGGAGCTATTGTGGTCTTCTCGAGCATGTGGTTGCTCATTGGCAATGCAATAAACTACAGATTGCTCGACAAGGAAAGGAACTTGGAAGAAGCAAAGAAGAAAACACATAAACTTGAGTCCAAGCAATCTGTACCTTTGAACAAATCCAAAAGTCTTGATGTTAATGTCAAAATTTCAGGAGCACACAATTCTCCCTCAGAAAGAGAAACTAATATTTAATAAGAATTGCATCTCTGATTTCAGTGTTTATTACTTTCCTTAGGGTCATTTTTCTTCTCAAAATATCGGTAAGGTTTTCTAGTTGAGATGAGCAGTTAGAATTAAGGAAGGAGATGATTTGTTCTTCAATAGCAAATATTAAATTCATTTTTTAAGATTTATTTGAGCAGATAAATTATGAGATTATGCATATAAAAATATATGCAGTGAGCTTATTTCCATACGTGACTTTGGGTGTTATGGTTAAAATACTAATTTTAAAGTCTTCCAGTGACTGGTGGTCTTGGTCATATAGAGATCTGAACCTCAAATCCTGGGTTTAAGTAGTTAGCAAGAATGTTTAATTCCATAAAATGATTGTCTCCAAATTGTATTTTTTTATTTGGTATTAAAATATATAAGTAAATTGAGGGAAAATCAATCCTTGCCTCACACACATTCTCTCTTACATGCACTCAGTATCTGATGAAGATAAGACAAATATGTTCAAAAAGAATATTTTCATAGTAATTTTTTCAGGTAAAAAAAAAAATCCATAGGAACAAAAGAAATGTGTTTGCAGACTACAGTGTGGGTTTTAAAGCTAAGTACATGGGTGTATATGAATGTGGTCTTAATTAGAAAATACCTCTGACTACTATAAATAAAAAGTGTTTGCTAATATGAAATAAGTTTGATAAAGAAAAGAAGGTAAAAACCTCCATTTTAAACCACTATTTCCAAGTATCATTAGACTTGATTAATCCACGCACATGATTTTCATTGAAGTGGGGTCATTTAGTACCTGAAACTAGCAAACAGAACTCTCAAATATTTTCAGGAATCTTATCTAACATGTCAATCAAATGAAAAGTCTAAATGACTCACAACAGTAAGCTGTGTCTATCAGTTTTGAAACAAATTTAGTATGTAAACAAGCAAAAAATAAATGGGAGTTTGAAGCAGCCCTCCATCCAGACTCACTGCTACTGAAACCTGTATACAAATGGCTGATGGCGAATTTTTCCCAACCCCTAGAAGTAATCTGAGAGTTACTGTTATGTACAATCCATTTTAGTAAAGCTGATGAAGAGTAAAAATCCAAACTCACCGTCATAGAGTCAATTACAACTCTTAGCAACCACCATTGGGTTTCTGAGGCTGTAAATGTTCACGGAAGTCGATTGTGCAGTCTTCCTTCCCTGGAGTGACTAGTGGGTTTGAACCACCAAACTTCTGGTTAGCAGTCAAATACCTTAGGCACTATCCCTGCAAGGTCTGTCAGCTTCCACTCCACAGAATACAACAGCAAAAAACAGAAAATACAGACTTTTAACTTAATCACTGATAATGCCTCCTATTATAAGATTGGCAGCACTTGAAAATTCTGCTCTCTGCTGTTAACCTTTTTGCTGCCTGTAAGTATAACTGAACCAAGGGACTGTTAGAGAAGGTTTTTTTAGAGATGTATGTTGTATGACTTGGAAATATAGGTATGGTTTGTACCATGATAGCAAGAAGCTTGTAATATTAAGCCCAGGTTAAGTTAGCAGTTTCTCATTCTCATGCTTATGTGAAAATGTCTGGGAATCTGAATCACTCCTGAATACAGAAGCATATATTAAGTATGCTTTCAAGACTTTAAGTATCATCTTCAGTGAGAAAACCCTCTTAAACAAGAAAGAATTTGTGCATTATGGCTAAAGTTAAAAATATATACAATTATAAATCTGATGTTTAAAATTGTGATTCATTAAAAAAAAATAGTGATTGATTATTGAAGTGATGTTACTCTTAAGGTGTCAAAGGGAATTTGCCTTTCAGTTTTTTATTGAAGTACAGGTAGGAGCTATTCTTATCTCCTATAAGAGCTTGGTACCAAGCTTCTGTCATGGTTAAGGATTTGATTCCTAAATTCATAAGCGTTTATGTACAGTTTAAGCACATGGTCATATTTAGAAACCTACACAAAATTCCTTATCTCATTTAACTTTTTTTTTTTTTGGTACCTAAGAAGTATTTCTAGTTTTCAAATGTTAAGTAGAACAAAATGTGCCAATATCATAGGTAAATAAATCAGGGAAAATGTGGCAGATATATGGCTGTTTTTAATTTTTATTTCATTGAATCTTGATTCTTAATGATCTATTTTCATATTATTATTATTGCTTTTGTGGGAG